GGGGCAGGGGGCAGATGTGCCAGAGCCATGACAGTTGCTGACAACAGCTCTCAGGAACCACAGCTACAGTGAAACCATAAGTCTGCGTGCTGAATGGCACACCACTCCTGCACAGGCCTGTTTACAGCTAAGGCTGCTGTACCATTTTAATAGGGCTTATGTCACACATCACATTTCTGACAAGCCTCCCTCCCAGTCACTCCCTGTACTGCTGACATGGCCTCTAAGAGGCACCTGCATGCTCCTGCCACGCTGCGCCTTGTGATTCTTCCCTAGGGAAGAAGAGCAGAAGCCTACTCCAAGGGAATCATTTTGCACCACTCCAATGGGAAACAATACCTAGTGCGATACAAATCACACATCAGAGCCTCTCCTTCCAGCCACGCCAGCCAAAGGTAAAATACTCTGTGCAACAGTGCCCACAGAATTTTCCCTGGTGGGAGCACTGATTCCCAGGTCAAGACTCCCAGCAGCTACCATGAGACACCTCTGCAGTGAAAAACTACAGTGACTTTGCATTTACTCAGAGGCAGTCTCACAAATCAAAGTGGTGTGAAGTCACCCTTTGGGGAGCCTTTGTGGGGACAACGGGGTGTTGTCTTATCCAACAGGCTTTCCAAACACACCCCTGCAGCCACCTGTTTCCCACTGCAGCAAGATGGGAACATGCAGGTAGATCCCCCTCCACACTAGCAATGGGCAACAGCCTGACTTCCCACATGCTGCTATAAAGGAAAGTAAAAATAATCCTCATACTCTAGCAATAACAGCCCTTGCTGGAGCTGAATTTTACCCAGTCAAGCAAAACTTGCATAGACACTGTAAATTGTCCCTCCTTGTCAGCCCCTCAAGGCACAAAACACTAATGAGTTCAGTGGAATGTGCTAAAAATGGCAAGAAGAGTTGGCGCTGCCTGACCCAAAGCCAGGTGGGTCCAGTATTAACAGCAAGCCAGTTCCCGGTGGAACAAGTCTGTATTGGCTTGCAGACAGTATGTTAATAGACCCTGCAGTCTGGGAGAACCTAATTGAGAGTAGGCAATCTAGGAAAAAAGCATCTCTGGCTGGATTTTTACTGCTACTCCCATAAACACACTGAGCTGTAAAGCTCCCCCAGGGAAATCTCACAGTCAGGTCAGAATAAGACTGCATACAGGAACAAGCACTTAGAAAAGCTGAATGAGAGAAACTTAGCACTGATCGGCTCTAGAGGCAAAGAGCATCGCCCCCCAAGGACAAGCAAAGCTACCGCTGGTGGTGTAAGAGCTGGATCAGAGAAAACAGGGAACAATCTTGGGAACAGCCAGTCCCAGACAAGCACACAGACAAAAGCAGCCCACTGCTTATGGAGAAAGCAAGGACATCTGCAAGCTAAATGTGTCTCTAGAGCTGTATTGCTTGCTTTCTAAAGAGGGTGCAGAAAGACTGTGGCCAAGAGGGCGCATATAGAAAACATAAAAGGCTCCACTAGGAACTTGCTTTCAGCGAGGCCAGGAATTTCAAGCCTGTAGGTGTAGAAAGGAAGGATCCTGGAGCAAGCAAATGAATTTATCATCTACTTATTTATCATCTACTTATCATCACAGAACAGCCGCATACACTGTGACCCAGCAGTATCAATGGCAAGTGCCACAGCTCTGTTCTTCACCACAGGTCAGCAGGCTGATCTTTACAGCAGGGGAAGAAAAGAGGTACAAACAGTTACCCCAGCATGGGATGCATTACACGTTCATGCTCTACCTTACTTTGCAGCAGCTTGGATGTGTGTTCGCGGCTCAAAGATTCAAAGGACAGGACTGTTGTCCCACATACACATCAAGTGCTAACCCGACAGCCTTTTATTTCTTCTGCTGCTGCTGTCGCTGCAGTGGATTTGCACAGCTGCACATGCTATCCATGAAAGGATGCAGGTATTACTTTTAATTAGGCCCTGGTCTCTTCCAGCAATAGCCAGTTCCGTACAGACCCGTGTCTAAGTGTGAGGTAGCTTCCTCCAGGTTTGTAGTGGATTCACCTTTGGTGCCTGTACATTTTGGAAACTAAACCTGGCAGAACTTTTTGGAGGAAAATATGGGATTGGACTAGAAGAGAAACAAGCAGTACCAGACTCTTGTGAGGGCGTGAACTAAAGATACTTTCATCTTCAGTTATATGTTAATTCCTACTAGGTCTTCACATCTATCCATGATACATCTCAAATCTTCTAGAGAAACTTTCCCTAGGGGAAGGTAAGGCTGGTGATGTGTCAATAATAGGGTAAGAAAAAGGCTAGTGGCCACGCAACCAAACAAGCACTTCAGAGTTTGGCTTTAGGAATTGTGCTGTGAGTTAGCCCCAAACAGGGAATCAGTGTAGCTTGTATTTGGGAACAATTCAGAAGCAGTCTAACCCCAGGATGCCTTTGGGACAAAGCTATCACTGCAAAGCAAGAGCTAATGGTCAAAAGCAGTTAATGCAGGTTAGGTTCCAAATAACTATTCAGCACTGAGCATGGGGCAGGCTCCTGAATTCCTGCCCTCCTCCACCCTGTCAGGCATCAGAGTACTTTATAAACCTTAATCAACTCCCCACAACACAGCACCTAGGATGCATCCACATGCTATCATGCTCATTGTGCAAAAGAAGAAATATCCCAGCGGGATCAGAGGATGACCAGGCTACCACCCTCCACCCAGCTCTAATGACATTTGCCACCTCCTGCAATGCCAGACTTCACACTCACTTCCTAATAGCTTCTGGCAGTAACCCTGACTGGCAGTGCATAATTCAGCAGCTTTCTTTCCTTTGAACTTTGCAATACAGTAATTACACTAGCATGCTTTGTGCACACTATAGGGCATGAGCGTCCTTTGGAAAAGTGGTCTGGTTGGCGTGGGGTTTTTTTGCAGATTAGATTTGAGGGGTTTTACCCCCCTTAAACACTGCACTATCCTTTTCCAGCCTCCCACTAGATGAAATGTTTCACTGAAATCCCAGTCTGCAGGCAAAAATGCCAAGAGGAGCTGTCACCACTGCTTTGTTTCTCTAAGAAATCATATGTGAAGTATAGGGCACACATCCTCCACTGCTGCAGGGACGCATGGAGCTGTGCCAATCTGCCTAACAATCTGGCCATATCCAGCTTGCTTGATTTACTTTCACTGAAGCTTGGCCCCCAAAGGCCTTTGCTGATTGACATCTGCTTGATAAGGGTGACCCAGTCATCCTAGGCAGCAACTCTACAGACGACAGTACACTGGCACCATGCCTGAAGACAGAGGTATGGTCATACACTGCAGAATTTAGCAGAAAACTGTTGACGACTCCGCTGTGTTGAGAACAGCCTTTTCCCGAGTCTCTCGCACGCTTACCCAGAAGTACAGCTCCCATTAGACAGTTGGCATCCAGTTGTCCAACACTTGTCTCAATTTTCACACCGAAGAAGGAAGAGTCCAGAGGCATTGCTGAGAGATAAAGGAAGGGGGATCTTGTCTGGTGCTTTTCTCACACCTTAGAGGTGCGAAACGCCTTGAAACAAATCAAGAACGCTTCTTGCAGCAGATGTCCCTGTGCTGTCATTCCCTGCTGGAGCTGAACCACTGCCACTCTAGTGACAGCTGCTATGGACAAATAACTTTAAAAGGGAATCTTCTGCTGGCTCCAAACCCTAATCCTTTACCAGAGCAAGTGATATAATTCAGTGGGTGTTGCTCTTTGAGTCTTATTCCTGCCATCACTGCAAGTATAAAGAGAAGAGGTCTCAAGATCAGTCTCACAGTGAGAAGGAAAACACCAGAGTGAAACAAAAAGGCAGGACAGACCACAGGACAGGCTCTCGCACCTGCTTGCTTTTAAAAGGTGATCTCAGTGTCTAAGCCTCACAAACCGATACCCCTCACCTCCTGGTTGGTGGTGGAACTTACTGCCATCTCATTCCAGCTATGAACAAGCTTTTTCACACACTGCATTTGAAAAGCTACAGTGGATGCTGAAGAGGCTGAGTGCATCCCACTGCTGCTGAAAAGCGCTTCAGCACCCTGGACAAGAAGAGCAGCTTCATTCTCTCATCTTATGCACAAGCGCAGCCAAAGCTCAGGGCATCCTCTGTTTCTTCCTGTGTGTGCTGCATGATACACACCTGTATGTGTCTGCATATATGCTAGAGTAGGCAGCTTGTATCCTGCCAGCAAAAATAAAAATATCTCGCTGAACAACACTAAGTTATTCTGCTAGATACAGTTTACAAGTATGGGGATCATGACGCATGGTTGGATTTAATCTAAACACAAAGTTGGTTGCTTTAAGTGTAAATGTATTACACAGCTTTTCTAGTAACAACTCTATGACCCACGATAAAATGCAAGATAAACCACCACTTACAATTGGTTTTGATTGCTCCTTCTACAGGCAAGAAACTTTACTGCTTTTATTGTCTGCAACAGGAATCACCTTGCATATAATCTTGACACCCAAAGCAACCCTAAAGCTGACAAAGGCTCTAACCAAGTGTCTGGTGTCTGCATCAGTCCAGCTGGCTGCTTTAGTAGGTTTGGCTGCAAGGAATCTGCCATTACACCAAATTGTCAAGCTGTGTCTGTAAGCATGGACAGACGCTTCTCCTACCCCTTTTTTTCCAGGGTGGGAGGTGAAAAAGTAGACAAAAGACAGACACAGTCTATTTCTTCCTTTACTGTTGTGCTAAAGTGGTGGTTGATGTATCTCAATTTTAGGAAGGAAATGCTTCTCTCATTCCCTCCTATATTCCTGTATTTATGACTGAAGGCAGTAGCAGAGCTGAAGCAGAGTTCCCCCCCGCTCTTTTCTCCTGATGACTCTCTTCTACCCTGATTCTTTGCTAGGATCACAGCTCAATTAACACCAACACAGCACTTCTTAGCTCCCAAACACAGATTTTCTGCCATCCCCTCCCAACAGATACTTTTATCTATTTCAGGCTCTTCCTGTCATTACATACACACCAAGCGAGAGGCTGAGGGCAGGAGCCAGATGAGCTGCTGGCTAACTTCATATTAGAGTGCATCAGACGTGATGCATCATATCATACGTGCATCCTGCACAGCACAGCTACCTGATCCAGAAAAACAGCACAAACATGGAAAGGCAGTGAGCTTTTGGGTCAGATGTTTCTACAGTGCTCAAAGCCTGTACTTACATTTTTGGCCTGTAAGCATGTGACAAAAGATCAAAAATTGTCACAACTTCTTTTCTGTAAGGTAGACAGCAGGATAAAGCAGGAAAGATAGCCACAAACTAAATAAAAGCTAAAGACGAAATTAAAATTTTTCACATCCCGGAGAAGCCATCTGTAAAACAAGAGGCACAACACTGCACTCTAGGTATCTTTCATCAACTTACTGGGAGGAAGGTGGAAAGCAAGAGTTCTCAGGTAAGAAACCTCTAGCACAATGTGCACAATTCAGTTCCTTATCAAACATTTGGCAATTCCCTCCTTTTAAATAGCTGTTGTGAAAGAACATGGGACTAAGAGTGGTCGCAACCTAAAGGACTACACCAATTCCTATATTTGTCCAGCCTCAGACCACCTTCTGCACAAACCGTTAGATCCAGAAAGCTCATAAATAGCAGCTACTCATCTACCTCAAATAATGTTGGATATTGCCATGTTCTACTAGTTTTATTATAATAAAAGGCAAAAATAAGACAACACTAGAAACATCAAAAGGCCTTGAAAGTGCTGAAGGAGACACACAAACATTTTACTCTCAGACACATTATGGTTACATGAATACTTCCCAAGTGCCATAGTTCAAATAAAAATATATTCATACAAATTTAAAAAAAATACAATTTATATACACTGTGGAATTAGCTTACATAATTTCGTAACAAAAAACAGTGCAAAAAAACAAATGGAAAGGTAAGTTGCTACCATTGGAATGGCTCACAGTAAGTTAACAATTCAAAACTGCATAATTAACACTGCACAGGAAACCATGAGGCAGGGGAGAATGCCCCATGCTACCCCCTAACTTTTGCCATCAATACTAATCCAGTTCTTGGTTACTATTCCTTTAGTGTTGCTCTGAGTAAAAGGTTACAGGCACCTATGTTAGAAGTTCCTTGTTAAATCACTAAGCAACCAGAGCCAGAGCAGAAGCAGTGTGTTGTAAGAAAGGAATTAAGTGACTGAAGTGTGAGAACAAGACTGACTCAATACAAGCTTCTTTGCATCAGTCCTTAGCAGAAGGGAAATGCTGCATCTCCAAACATCAGAACTTGTAATTCCCTTTCTGCAGGCTACATAACAGTGATTGCACATGGAGATTTCCCTTTAAAGCAGCTGACAGGGTCACCCACCATCCTCATTTAAAAATTCTTTACTGAAGGAGCGAAAGGGATGTGTTTTCCAGCTGAAACGTTTGAGTAAGATAGATGCATAGGCAGAGCAGACGATGCAGACAGCAGGCTGAAGGCAAGTGTTCTTCTCATGGGAAAGCGCAGCTGGTGCTTAGACAAACCTTGACAAGATTTTTCAGCCTGTCTTGTCTGGATTACCTAACTCCAGGCCTCAGTAGCGATAACAAGACATCCTACAGCAAAATATACTGCTGCAGTTTGTGTACAGAAATAAAATAGGACATGACCAGCTCAAGGCAAGCAATCTAAGGAGCCCTATTCATGTGCAGGAAGAGAAGGAACCTTCCACACAGCATCACTCAACACGAGCAAGAAGAAAAAGATTTGCAATGGAGAGACGTAGGACGTTCCTGACAGGTGCTGACAGTATGGGATTGCTAATTCCACATTAGTGATCTGAAATCCCAGCAAAACAGGATTCCTGTGATTTGTAACTGCCCACAAGCACAAATCCTCTGATTGACAGGTAGGTTAACAGAAGCCTATTTCAAACCTACAGTTCAGCATCAGGAAGTGCAAAAGGGTGCTGGAAGGTTTTTAGAAGTTCCTTGTTAAATCACTAAGCAACCAGAGCCAGAGCAGAAGCAGTGTGTTGTAAGAAAGGAATTAAGTGACTGAAGTGTGAGAACAAGACTGACTCAATACAAGCTTCTTTGCATCAGTCCTTAGCAGAAGGGAAATGCTGCATCTCCAAACATCAGAACTTGTAATTCCCTTTCTGCAGGCTACATAACAGTGATTGCACATGGAGATTTCCCTTTAAAGCAGCTGACAGGGTCACCCACCATCCTCATTTAAAAATTCTTTACTGAAGGAGCGAAAGGGATGTGTTTTCCAGCTGAAACGTTTGAGTAAGATAGATGCATAGGCAGAGCAGACGATGCAGACAGCAGGCTGAAGGCAAGTGTTCTTCTCATGGGAAAGCGCAGCTGGTGCTTAGACAAACCTTGACAAGATTTTTCAGCCTGTCTTGTCTGGATTACCTAACTCCAGGCCTCAGTAGCGATAACAAGACATCCTACAGCAAAATATACTGCTGCAGTTTGTGTACAGAAATAAAATAGGACATGACCAGCTCAAGGCAAGCAATCTAAGGAGCCCTATTCATGTGCAGGAAGAGAAGGAACCTTCCACACAGCATCACTCAACACGAGCAAGAAGAAAAAGATTTGCAATGGAGAGACGTAGGACGTTCCTGACAGGTGCTGACAGTATGGGATTGCTAATTCCACATTAGTGATCTGAAATCCCAGCAAAACAGGATTCCTGTGATTTGTAACTGCCCACAAGCACAAATCCTCTGATTGACAGGTAGGTTAACAGAAGCCTATTTCAAACCTACAGTTCAGCATCAGGAAGTGCAAAAGGGTGCTGGAAGGTTTTTGGGATAGCTCAGTGCTAGACCAGAGCTCAGGGAACACAGGCATCTTAGAAATATCTGTAGAGACTATCCAGAGAGAACAAACATCCTTACTCTACTTACAGGGAAAGAACTTTCAAGTCAAGAAGTAGCCAATGCCAACTCATATGCTCTAAGGAACGTGCCACACCTGTCCCAGCTGAGGAGTCCAGGTTGAAGGCACAAGATGGATACTGGCTGTAGGAGAACACCTTTGCTTTACTCCTGGAAGTTTAAGAGCTTGCATGCCTTATTTGAAATGGAGCTAGGATATTCAGAAGCCAGAAAAACTATTTTAGTGGAGGAGACGAGCTGTTGCTGCAAGTTCCACCGTAAGAAAGGGAAAAGAACAAACGTATTGCCTGCTCTTTAGATAGATCACTTCCTAAGCAGCCCTGGAGAGTAGCCATAGTTAACCAAGGGTTCTGGGACACACACAGCTTCCTTTGCAACAACTGCTATGCACACACCACAGCCCACTTTTTCCTTTGTGGAAATGGTATAAATCCATTCTTGAAAATAAGGAAAGGTCTGTACTTCCTCTCTTAATAAGGCAGCAGGTGGGAAAGAACACGAAGTGGAAAAAAGGCCTCCAGATGTCAATGGAGAAGAATAAAAATTAAAATCTAAGTGCTTACGAACAGCTTTGCTAAAACCAAACTTCCTAGCTGAGCCATGCCACACACTGTATGACAAGGACAAATTCTACCCTAAAACTTGGTCTTACAATTGGTTCCTGAGGCCAAGTTTTCTCTCATCTGCTGGACAAAATTCAAGAGCCTCCCATGACTCAGAAGTCTTCATTACAAGCACAGCCAGAGAATACAGCTCTCTACCAACTATCCAGACTGCAAAGACTCCATGAACACCTAAGAGTTCCAGTGACTTAAAGAGCCCTACATCAAGATCATGGCTGGTGACCTGGGCACAAAACCTCCTCCTAACCCTAACTGTAGTAGGGATCTGCACCCAGCAGTTTGCAGAGCAGTGCCCTGGAACAATCAGCTTCCACAAAGTCAAAGAGGCTGTTTTAACAGATTTAGTGTTTTGACACACATAAGGAAAGGGCACGTCTTCAGGCTTAGTCAGGAAAATCTTCAGCATAGATGAGTTCCTGAATTCAGAAAATACAATAATGTCTGATTTCCTGCTGCCACAACTCTCGTCTAGCTAGCTCCTTATGGCAGACAACAGGTTAATGGAGTACTCAGAGGCTGTGTAGAAGCTTTTCTGGGATACATTGCCCGTTACCTGCCCCAGTCTCTTGGCTGAGAGAATACTCTGTGCTTTATCAAGCCAATCGGCTCTGCAGCCCCTGGAGGCACAATGCTGGCTTCCCACCGAGGGTTATCTGTATGCAAAACTCAGGAGGGCAGGTGCCTGCTGGAACAATACAGGTGCTGGCCAGGATGGTACCTGCTAGAGCAGTGAACTGGCTGCAACTGGCTTTTAAGTGCTGATTTTACCCTTACAGATATTCAGCTGTTACAGTTGCAAACGTTACCCCAAGCATTTTTAGAGCACAGACAGCCCCACTTATCACCCTGCAGCAAACCTTGCCTGTTAGTCACCAGCACCAAATACCCCTCCTGTGTGGCAGCCTGAAGTTACACCAGCTCCTCTCATGACACAGAGATAATTCAACCAAGCCTGGAGAGAGGGCATCAGTTCTATCTGCCTCCAGAAAGCAACACCTCATCAGGCCCCAAGGATGGGGGTTCCCTGGTCTCTAAGCCTAGATGGAAAGGTGTCCCAGGCTCTCACTGTTGGATCAGTACAAGGACAAAGTGCCTACAAATGCCAAGAAATGCAGGAGTGTCAGGGTAGTGACAAAGTGGAGTGCCACAAAGTGCCTTAGAAGAGTCTCTTACAGGGAGATAATAGCAACAGCTAGGGGTGGGGTGGGGGTGGGGAGAGATCTCCCTTCTCTGAGATGCTCTGCAAATGTATTAAATATTTATAACCCCAAACAGTAACTGGAATTGAACTGTTTTGAACTCCTGATTTACCAAGCTGCTCTCAAGTCAGCTGCTGTCAAAAACATCACAGCAGGGATGCTTCCCCATGAAAGAAGGAGAGAAATTAGTAACAAATGAAGCCAGAGTGGAAAAACATTGGCAACTGGGAGCACCCGCAGAGAGGTGTATTTCCAGAGTTGGGTTTTTTAATACTGCTTTTGAGAAAAGACATCTTCCAGAGCAGCTATTTTATAACTGCAAACTTCAGTGTCTCCTCTCAGCCTTGACAGCGACCCCCTTCTCACACAAATAAGGCAACAGTTGCAGGAACAAGTGAGGAAGAGAAAAAGGGAGACATACAGGAGGACAGGGGAAAGATGCTGCAGTTCTCTGCACAGGACACAATGGAGCTAGATGGTTCTGTTTTCCAACCCTTAAAAAAACCCAAACCAAAATAAAATAGCAGAACATACAATGTCAGGACAACGTGTGATGAAAGGAGATAACTGGGGCACAGGAAAAGAGAAAACCTGCATCAAGAGTGGTCAAACCAAATGCCTGAGACCCATCAACAGCTCTGGGCTCAAGCAGCTCCTCTAATTCTCTGGCTAGCAAGATGTTTTCCAGCTCCCCAGGCTTGATATGCATGTGAAGCCAAATGGCAAGTCTTGGGCCTTGTGGGGTCCAAGCAGAATGCGAGCGCGTGTGCAGGCTTGGAAGAGGGAGGTAGCCACACCGACAGCGGGGCAGGGTGGGCAGGGGCATCAAATGGTCTGATAGTGTTGTCTCAGTCTTGCCTGCAGAAACTCGTGGGTCAGGTTGTGCCGAGTGATTATCCCAACAATCTTAAAGAGGAAGAAAAGAGGAAAAAAGATACAAGTCAGTATCACAGATGTGCCACCAAGACGTGCACGGTAGAGCTGTTGTTCTTTCCAACCCCCAAAAAAGAGGGAACTTGTAAGCAGTTCTTGACCAATGCTGAATTACAGTGGGTTCAAGTTCAAATCTCACCAAAAAAATACCCCTCCCTCTCCCAGGACTTATCTACAGGCAAGACACTGCTTTAACTACACCCAAACAGACAGCTTGACTGCTGCTATCTTGTCTGGACACAGCAGTAGTTACCCCTGCACAGGAAGGGAAATCCTGTCCATGTTAGACAGCATGGGGATGTAACAAAATCCTTTGGAAAGTGAAAACTGTAATTTGGAAATAACAAAGCTGTCTCTTATGTCTTCATGAGAGACATTTCTGCTATGCCACATGATGCGACTGCAGATAGCTTGTATCAGATACATTCTAGGAAGCTCTAAAGATCTAAACGGAAATGGTAAAGACTAGCTAAGTGGTGACTGCATGCTGGCCATCCCTAGCTGGCAAGTCACAAAAGGGACCCTCTCCCAGCCTGCTGGGGAAACAGTCAAACCACATGTTTCAGCTGATGAAACACCTCAGTAATTTTACACATTGAAAGAGTTTAGAACTAGGCTGCTATCTAGTACTGCAAGAGCATCTTGTACTAAACATGGAATTAATCAACATCTCTTGTTTTCAACCAACAGGCTCTGCAGAGTAGCTATTAGGAACCCCAAGAGGCAAAAAAATCACTGCTGTCTCACAAGGACAGACCAGTTCAGCCTTAAGGGAAACAGTTTCTTATGTTTATAGGAAGTTACTGACACCTACTGGCTATTCCTGAGCATTGTAGATGGCAAAGAGAAGTACAGTGAATCAAGCACAAACCATTCAAAGACTCCTTATTTTGCTGCTCCTGCGAGTAGGAACAGAATGCAAGTTCCCTTCCAGCAGAAAATCCTCCTGCCCTAACACACAGGAAATTCTGCTCTTGGCCTTGAATAACACCGTAAGAGGAAGCCATATCGGTAGCCTCTGATGAGCTCAAGGCCTTTCAACAGGTACAAGACAGTAAGAGCTTCCACATGCTGCCAACCTGAGACAGGAGACTGCATGTCCTCCCTTTGAAGGGAAAGCAGGAAGCAGGCTTGGACACAAAAGATGGTAAAAAAATCATAGTAATCAACACTGCTTCAGGGCCTTAAGATGATCACAGCCTGGTCTCTTTAAAGCGTTTCTGTTTGATGTTAAAAGAGATCTTAATTCTCCCAAAGGTGGAAAGCATTGCAAAAACCACAGTGGCTCCCTTGCTCAGCCAAGACAAAATGGAGACAAGGACTCACCTCTCCAACTGCGTTCACAACTGGTAAATGTCTGAGTCCCATTGTCCTAAACAGGTTGAAGACTTGTGACACATGAGTGTTTGGAGAGACAGCAAAGGGCGATGGGTTCATGTATGGGGTGACATCCTAAGGAAGAAAACCAGTTATATTATTTACAAGAGGCAGTTTCACTATCTCTGGGAATCACTAACAAGCAATTCCTACAATTCCTCCAATGCACTGATCTCTGGACAGGGTATTGGACTGTGGGCATCTTCTATGTCTTCACAGATATGAAATTATTTTAGGAACCTCAATTTGTCACAGTTTGTTTGAACACTGTAACCTATGATCTTCAGAGCCCAATGCTGCAGAAAGCCTCTGAGCAGGATAAATGCAGGTCCATGAAAATAAGAATGTGTATTAAAAAAGCACTTTGGCTTACACAGCAACCTTCTTGTCACAAAGACAGGGACAGGCCTGCCACTAACTGAGCTGCCAGCACAGAGTTCCAAACAGATATCAGCCGTTTGCCTGTCCAGTCTCACTCAAGCAGGAGTCTAATCTAGAAGGAAGTTAAACTAGGCAGCCAACACCTTATTCTGAAAGTAAAGCACCTGTGTGCAATGTTACCTCATAGCAGGTATCAGGGTTGATTTCCACACGCAGACAAGGCTGACTGAATGCATAAGTAGTACAGAATGTTGGCCACTGCACCCAAGGGTGGACTTAAACATGCTCTCAGCTTTTTTTAAAGGCTCGGGACAGTCGTAAACATGTATCAGAAAACACTGTCACATTGCAGTGTATCTCTTACCACTATCATGCGAGGGTTCAGCAACGTGAGGTCCAGGTCATGGATGTCTGGATAGCGGGGATAATCCTCTGACATCTCTGCATGGGACAGACGAGGCTGACTTGCACTCTGCAATTAAAACAAATCCCACTGAACAGATGTGTCACCATCCCAGAAAGTACATGGGCTGCAAGCAGCACAGCAAACAATGCCTCCCACTTGCTCACCCAGATCAACTTCTCCTCCCATGCCCACACATACAACCGCAGAGGCACTCCTAGCAGCTCATCTCAGAATGCAGCAGTACAAGCCCAAACCTATACAGGCATTTAGCCAAGAGTGCAACAGATCTGCTTTCCAACCTCTGACAGACCTACACTCAACACTGGAGGGCAGCAACAAATCAGCCTTGTGGAAGATGGGCCTCAAAACACAAATGCTCATACTGATCTCAGGGATACAGCTGACACTCTCCTGGTAAAACCTTGGCATGCAGCAGTAAAAACACGCAGTATACACTGCTGGTTGCTCTATTTGTATTTAATATCTGCTCTCCATTCTCCAGTTCTGACACTATTCACTTTTATGCAACAAATGAGTCTGTTGGTTTATTTTTTAAACAGTAGCTGTCCTCTTTTCCTGGGGGTGCTTAAACAGAAATTAAATTCTCTTTAATCTAGCACTGCAAGGGAAAATTCATATTATACCTCTACAGTTTTTAAACCACAGATGCATTCCTTAAAGTACACAAATAGGTACATTCTTTTTGGCAGCCCATAAATATCGTTCCCGACCTTCTCAGCCAAGAAGGTAGGGATGTGTCTGCCTACAATTCCTGATTAGGAAGACTCACCGACTGGCTCTCAGAGTAACAAACACCTCTGACAAGGAGGGTGACGAGTTGTGAGCGCAAGATCAAGCCGTGGAATGTCAAAGGTCTGAAGCGTTCCTCCATGGTCCACTCTTCACTGGGAGACTGGTCAGGGTACAGGTTGGGGTAGGGAGTATATCTGTGACAGATTTAACATACTGTAAGTTGCATGAACTTAATGAGACACACATACCCCCACCTCCAAAACAGCAATAGCTATTTCAGCTCTTTGCAACCCTCTCCTGAACATTTCAGGGACTCCTGCTAAAGACAAGCAAGTCTTTTCTCCACCAAACAAAATAGCAGAGGGGTCAGGAGCCATTACCACGGGCAGAGTATGACAACAGCAGCAGAATGGAGACAGTCTCCTAACCCTCAATTTCAAATCACTTGTTACTAAAGCAATTTTCAGTGCCAAATTATTCAGATTCTACTGAAAGCTGAAGCATCTGGCGAAACATCCGGGTCAGGACTCCACTCATAAGCGTCACAATCTCTAGGTCAGAAACTGATTCACTAGACTGGGCTCCTGCTTGGAAGCAATTGCAGTACAAGCCTGGTGACTCAACTCAGCTGCAGGAAAGGTGGTATGAGTATTATGGCACAGAGCCATTAGCTCCTGTCTTGGGAGAGGTGAGCTTTGCAGAGCCCTCATGGTTTTGCACACAAGAGGGCATTGATTTCTACGGAGATTTCCCCAGGTATTCCATCCTCTCCAGGAAATATTTCTGGATAGATGTTTGATGGAAATTTAAGTTAACAGGTTGGACACCATCAAGCCATTAGCCTAGGACTCGGTCATAGGTGTGAGCCCCAGCACTGGCTGATGAGACCTGACAAGTCACCTCTCCTAAAACGTGGCACTGTTTCCTCTTACATATGGGATGACAGGGACTGTATGAAGCATCACAACACATGTCAACGTATAGAAACACCCTGTTTCCATACGTTTGTGCCTACCAGGATCTCACCTTCTCTCTAGCATCTGTTGCAGCAGATCCTCCTTTTCTGGTGGCTCCTCTGTTGCTATGTGCTCGTCACACATGTTACGCAATTCACTTGAAGGGTAGGATTTCATGGACTGACTACGCTTGCGCTGCTCTCCAGCTCGGGTGAGGATGCTAGATTTCTGAATACAGCAAACAATTTTCAGATATGCCCTTAAGCAGGTCAACGGTTATCCAAGAGCGACAATGAACTATTTAATCATAGCTCTATGTCACCAGATAAGTTGTTCCTGAGACAGTGCGTCTGCAGTACTTGTAAGAATAGCAGGACTGCACTCCTGTACTCTCCTTGGACAGAGAACCTGGAGTTTAGAAACTCTGGCACCCTTTTTTGCTAGAGCACAAGTACGCCACAAGCACATTCATTACTCATTCTGACCTTAAAATTTAAGTTTCCCAGGAGACTAAAGCACCTGCCCCACTACCCCTCCTACAAAGGAGAGAAGCATTTAGGCACCTACTACTGATCTCAAAGGTGAGTTCAGTACTTCAGTGCCAAATGCAAACTTTTTCCATGTCTATCCTAAACAGGTGACTTAGTCCTCTTAACTTTTGCCTCTAGGAATGTATCAACACAGGCCAGGGGATGAAAGGATCAAGAGCAGCCCTGCTGAGAAGGACTTTGGGGCTACTTGTGGATGAAAAGCTGGACATGAGCAGACAACATGCACTCATGGCCTGGAAGGCCAACGCTATCCTGGGCTGCATCAAAAGTAGCATGGCCAGCAGGTCAAGGGAGGCGATTCTGCCCCTCTACTCTGCTCTGGTGAAACCCCACCTGGAGCACTGCATCCAACTCCAAAGCCCTCAGCACAGCACAGACATAGACCTGTTGGAGCAGGTCCAAAGGAGGGCCACAAAAACGATCAGGGGGCTGGAACACCTTTCCTACGAGGGCAGGCTGAGAGAGTTGGGGTTGTCCAGTCTGGAGAAGAGAAAGCTGTGGGGAGACTTGATTGCAGCCTTTCCATACTTAAAGGGGGCTTATAAGAAAGATGGAGACAAACTTTTTAGCAGGGCCTGTTGTAATAGGACATGGGGTAATGGTTTTAAATTAAAAGAGGGTAGATTTAGACTGGAAGAATTTTTTTTTACAATAAGGGTGGTGGAACACTGGAACAGGTTGCCCAGAGAGGTGGTAGATGCCCCATCCCTGGAAACATTCAAGATAAGGTTGGACTGGGCTCTGAACAATCTGATCTAGTTGAAGATTTCCCTGCTCATTGCAGGGGGGTTGATCTAGGTGATCTCTAAAGGTCCCTTCCAACCCAACACATTCTATGAGTCTTACCTTGAATTTGATGTTGTTACTTATCAGTTGATTTCCCTTCATGAACTCCCTCTCATTGCCCCGGTTCTCAGTCACTACAGGGAAGGCATGATGGACAGTTGTGCGCAGGATGCTAACAAGAGACTGGATCCTGGTGTGTGGGTATACATATGTCAGGTTGGGTTCCATGATGTCACTGGCTCGTAGCCTGAGGAAACAAATCCAAGATTGCTGCATGTATCACATCAGCAACAGAAGGCTGGTGATGCACAAACAAGGCAACAAACCAGTCCCAAAACCAGATCCTGAAGGAGTCTGCTGCAGTTTAGTTCTGCCAGCTCCTTGTATCTGTGTGCTCAGCTTCACTGTGTTATTAGCCACGCTGGCACAATTGATCTTCTTATAATTTTTTTTTTTTTTTAATGTAACATTGCAGCAATGATGCACTATAGGCAAGGAAAAAGGTTCCAACACAGAAAGTGTTTAAACACTACTGGGAAAAGACGACAGGTGGGAAAAAGATGAAATTCTGCAAGAAGCAAAGTCCAGTGGAGCATTTTCACAGAGTTCTTGCTGAACCTCACAAGTCTGCTCCTTAGATCTCCACCTGTCCACCACTCCTCAGAAAGGGCTCCAGCACCTCCTTCCTGTCGCAGGCCTGATACAACTCCCAACCCCTCTCACAGCAGTCCTCCTCACAGCTGCTCCTCTCCAAGCAGCCAGATTCATTGGAGATGAAGCATCATCCCCCCACACTACAGCATTCCTTTCTGAGCAAGAACCGTACCACAGACTCTAACCCACAGCCCAGCCAAGAGAAGCAGCCTTACTTATCCATTTCCACCTCTGTTTCCCACTCCAGAAGAGGCACTCCTCGCAGGTTCACATGGATATCATAGATGCCTTTGTTGAAAAAGTCTCCTGTCCATTTGGCTACCTGCAGAGCAAAGAGGTCTACTGAGTTGTTGCTCCAAGTACAAGCTTATCATAGCCCTGGAAGCAACAGAGATTCAGGGCCAGCACATGTTCCAGCAGTCTGCAAGAAGCCAGAGCTAAGGCCCCGCACTCACCATGAGGGTGATCATTATTGGGAGCCCATAGGTGATCTCGTTGGTGGATTCAATTAGGATGACGGTCAGACTAATTGTCATGCGGACCACTCCTCCCAGGAATGCTGCTGCCCCAATCAGTGCAAAGGTTCCTGAGTAGATGTGATCCAGGCCAATGTAGCTAGGGCGAAACACAGAGCCCAGAGATTAGAATAACCTGACTGGGAGCTCAGCGTGTGTCTGCAGCACATCTCACACACGTACGCACACTCAATGCACCTTTTGAGGAGGTTGGCGACCAGGCGTCCGAAGGCAGCCCCACAAAGCAGTGATGGCACAAAAAGACCACTGGGCACGGAGATCCCGTATGTCCAGCAGGAGAGTAAGAAATAGAGAAGGAAGAACAAGGACAGTGTGACTGGGCTGAAAGTACCTGCAACACAAGAAGAATCATGACTAAAGGGGCACAGGTCTGTCAGACAAAGACAGTAGTTTTGCACCATCCACCCCTCAGCTCACAGCAGGCTCATCTCACAACAGCTATTTAGTCTCCCAGTCCAGACACACATGAAGACAACGAGTAAGTGAAAAAGAGAGGAAAAGCAGGCCTTTCTTCCCACGGAAGAGGCTTTCTACCTGTTGTACCAGCAGTCCCCCAGAGCCATGATGGCCTGAAGATGCTCTTAGCCTTGTGGTTCTTATGACAAGGCAGTTTCAAGAAAGATGAAGCACTGAAGCTGAAGCATGGCATGGCGCCCTGTCTTTTAGCTACTTACCGTCCTGGTGGAAGAGCTGCAAGATGGCTGACTCCTGAGGGTTGAAGAAGAGTGTGGCCATGTCATTGTAGGTTTCATTTGGGCAGAAAAAAGTTTTGATGCTTGAATTCACGTCCTCTGACATACCCTAATGCAGGACACAAAAGACACGAACAGTTAAAATCCACTCTCCTACATTAGCCTTTGTGCAGAATGGGAGTAACCCTTCTGTATAGGGCTGCCAGCCCACACTTTGGGAAGTTCAGACCGAACATCAATAGCAGAGATGGGGCCTGCAACATCAATGGGCTTCCTGATTCACAGCTTGAGCTGCTTCACCAAAGTATGAAAACACAAAGGGCAGCTTTCATTATTACCCTAAGCTTCTGCAACAGTCCACAGGCTTTCACTGAAGTTCTGTTATGTGCTGCACACTGTCAAAAGCTCATTATGTGCCTGTGCTTCTCCGGAGGGTGAACAAGATGATGGGGACGTATAATCTGCACAAAAGTTCCCTCACCTGCAGGGTCAGAGTGTCATTGCCACTATGACTGGTGGAAGACATCTGCCGGCACTCCCCCAGAACCATGGAGGCTACAAAGACCACAACCGTGGTAGTCAACGACACCAGCAGGCTCTCCAAGACCCTGCAAGTACACAATAGAAACCACAGACTGAAGCCACACTCAGCCCCATAACCCAGTCCCAGCTCTGCACACAACTTTGATAAGGTTGCAAAAAGATGCAGTCACCACAGCTTAATGTCAGAAGCAGGGGACTCTGCAAGTCAATCTGAATGATGACTTAGTTGCCAGGCATTGCATTAACTCCCCTTTCTAATTGCCTGCCCCCAAAAGGAGCTATTTCTGCCCAGAGAACACATGATAGTCACGTATAAAAAGCCACAGGGAAGGGTTCAGTGATGAGGCTGTTCACACGGAAATGATGTTCTGTAGATCCTTACAGGGCAGAAGTCTAGACAGGACTAGACATGTTGATGCATAGTCTCTCATAATCTCCTTTATTTTCTAACTGCTGAAGTACACTTTTTTTTTTAAAGCTGGGCTTCTTACTTAGGATTGTCTAGAGCAAATGAACAGCTATTTTCCAGAATTACACAGCAATTCCCTCTCTAAATAGCACAGATATTAGCTCAGTTGTGGATTTAATGAGCCAAGATTTAAAAAAAAAAAAAAAAAAGAGAGAGAGTGGAATCAGCTATTCGTTCTACATCTGTTTGGACAAGACATACAAAAATACTACATGGAGACAAAGCTCTGGTTTGTTCAGCTATAGCCTTTATAATAAAAGAGCTCCCTTCACAGCCCTTGCAAGGGGGGCTGCAGCTCTCTCTGTACCACCAGAGTAATTACAAAAATGCAGAGGGACTGCAACATCTGTTTTCTGGTGTTCACTTTTAAGTTCTATGCAGGCTTCGTTTTGTCATTTCAAATAGTATGTCTGGAACTTCTTCCAACCCCTCTCACCAGGTCTTCTAGATTGATGTGCAAACTCAAGATCTAGATCCCTGCGCAAACTCGAGAGAGCACAAATACCTGACCAGCTTTGGCTTGGGATGCACGTTCCGCATCCGGTACTTTGCAAGTCTCTTGTTCAGGCAGTTGAAGGTGGCTCCAAGAAGGCCTCCTACAATTCCCATCAGAATGAAGAAGCCCAAGTCCACAGCTGTCCAGAGGTGGCATTTCTTATCAGACTCGGAACACTATATCCAGAAAAGCATTAAAAAAAAAAAAAGCATTAGAGTAGTTGCAGTTTCCTACCAACACTTCTGTCTCCACAGCAGGAGACTTTCAGCAGCTTTGACCAAAGGAAAACAATTCTGTCTTTGGCTATCAAGGTACTACAGCTAAATATCAACTGCCCTTCACTGAAATACAAGCATGAATAAAAAAAACAGAAAGAAACACCAAATCAACAAGAGACTGGGGTGGGGGGAAAATAACAGCACTAAATCTTACCTTAAACTCCCCAAAGTTCAGCAGCCCAGGGAGCTGGAAAGACCCCCAACTTCCAAACTGAATCCCAGAGCGGAAAAAATTCAGGGTGAAGGTGGCAGCCATGGAACAGAAAAGCTAAGGAGGTTAAAAAAAAAAAAGGAAGAACTAAACACTCCCAAAATTAAGATTGGCAATTGGCAGTCAGCTCTTCTTTGAGACATGCCTGGGGAAAGGAACCTCAGAGCCTTCTCAAACTTTAGGGAAATAGTCCTACCAAGGTCTAACACCCATTCCCTGCTGCAGAAGAGAGCAGGGCTAGAATGGACTACTATAATCATCCGATTTGGTTTCCCGCAGAAGAAGTTAGGAACTTCACCTAGTAATTTTGCAGCAAAAACTCTCTCCCCCCCCAATGCTAATTTGCAGTTACAAATCAGTTACAAGGCACTAACACAGCTTGTTTAGAGTTGGAATTGAGGTCTTCATTGGCTCTAAGAGTTGCCATCTTGGTAAATCCCCTTGTGCCTTTTATCCCCACTGAGAAAGAACAGACTAACTGAACCCTATCAACAGGACATTATAATGCAAAAAACATCATGAAATCCAATACATTTTTAAAATACTGTCAACTTCATGAAAGTAGGCACTAGAGGCAGAGAAATCAGCAACCTGAAGGCATGTGACATTGCTGCAATACAGCTTGCCAAGGCAGAGAACAGCAGAAAGAAATCTAGCACCTGCCTACTCTGTCTGCTTCCAAAGGATCGGACTGCAAAGAGCCCAGGCACAAAAGCCCTTTCTCCCAGGTACACTAAATCTGCTACCTACAGCATTGCCCCAGATAGTTCCAGATAGTACCAGACCCATCTCTGCTCTTGATCTGTAGTAATTCTGGAGCACTCAGAGCAGGCAATCTCTCTCCTGCCAGAAGAGCTCGGGAGGAGACGCAGGATAATCTGAACGCCCTCATGGACAATACTTCCCAAAGGTCCAGTTCAAGGAAGACACACACGAAGAGCCAGAGCCATTACTCACCACTTTCCATGTAAGTCCCTGGTTCCAGAAGGAGGAACCTTCTTCCAAGCTGAAAAGAGTGCCCCCAATTGGGGCCCCAAAGGCAGCTGCAACCCCTGCAGCAGCTCCAGCAGATACAAAATCCCTTTTATCCCTGAAATGAAGAAGAAAACAATCTCAGTTTAACAAGTAGAGCTCTGGAGGTGCTTAGATTCTGCAAAGTAAGAGACCTTCCCATTTATGGATATATCCCAGGGATACAGGAGCAACAGCTGGGAGAAGTGCTGGCCATGGCAGGCAACACCATTTATTAAGTTGCCTTAATTAAGTCGTTGCAGCATTGTGCTCTTTTTCTAGAGAACAAATAGAGCTCAACACTGTGGCACTACACAACTGCCCAGTATACAAGGAACCATCCCAAACTGTGGGGCTCCAGCATCACTTGAAAGAACTACAGAGAGGGAAGGCCAAAGTTTTATTCACAATCAGGTGGATCAGCCTTCTCTGGAGTATATTTTGCTCATAAGAGGTGAGTAACTGAGCTTGTTCCCAACAATGAAGCCATTTAACCATTTAGATTAAAGCTTTTAAATGGGTAGAGATTTTCTGAATAGTTCAAAAGAGCATCAATGAAGATGGAGACCAGAGCAGAGCAGCATGGAAGAGTCAAGTCCTGGTGTTGTCTTGCTGCAGAATGAAACTGCAGGACACTAGAGAGAAACTGGAAAACCAACTGACTGATTCATCTCAGCCCACCACCCTTCTCCCAAGGAAGTCTGCTCGTTCATCCTCCTCTCCCCTCCTCCACATCCTGGGTACAGTACCTGTCACTGCGGAAATAGGGAAAGTTAAATTGGATCTTCCTCAAAGAGATGCTCTGGAACTACAAACAAAATAAGGATTTAGAAACATAGGAGATGGAAACTTACTCCTCACAAGTACTCTTACAAAGCAGTGGTGTGACCAGGCCAGCGACCCAGGCCAGCACTAACCTGTGGCAAACCCGCACCCACGACAGCACCACTGTGAATCATTGGACCCTCCTTCCCGACAAAAAGACCTGGAAAAACAGGACTGATGAGGCAACACACGCCCCCTGCCCTCCCTTGCTGACAACACCAGAAGAGATCAGCTGACCACTCCCATGCCATGGCACAGTGCCCTGTGACAAGCCTGCAGCTCCTCCCTCTCCCCTCAACCCTCCAAATGTTTGTGAAGACTTGCACAAACTTGGCATTCAAAGTGGGTGGAACCATTCAAAGTCAGCTGTTACAGAGACTCTGAACTCTCCAGGTTACTCTGCCCTGCTGCCTAGAACTTAGCCTCCTTCAGGCTGCTCTAGATAATGTGTTCTGGAGAATTCTCAGGTCTCCCTCTTGGACTGAGACACAAAGAGCCACTTCTGACTAGCCCACCCAGAAAAGTACCTGTTCCCCAAACAGACCCAATCCTTCTGTCTATTTTCTACTCTATATGTGCATTCAGGGCTCATCACTCTGCTCCTGCCCACCAAAATATTACTGGAAAGGCAGAAGAAACCTTTTGTGCCCTAGGTACAGCAGGGACAGCATTTTTACCCCTTCAGTGATTCCTTACCCCAACAAGATCAAGACATCACAGGCCTTCTTACCTCCTGCCACACTGAAGAGCACTCCCATAGCTTTGCACACCACTGTCCGGAGACGCACAACCCCTGGAACCTTTACTCCGTTGAGGTAGCACTTAATTTCAGGAATTCCTGATCCAGCTGCTACAGGCTGCAGAAAAGAAACACCAGTGCTGTGTTGCATCGATTTCATAGCTGACCAACAATATCTCATCAGAGAGCACAGCAAGGGACCAAGAGAGTCTGCTTAGCTAAATCAATTAGCACTGTGAAGTTAGTTTGATGTCTTGGGGCAGAAAGTGCTTCTGGCAAGAAGGAAACTTCATACCCAGGACCTGTGTGACAGCAAAGGGAGGCTGTGCAAGGAGCAGCAGCAGACCTAAGTCTTACTTGGATCAGGACCAGAAGGCTGGCAAGAAAAACAAAGGTCAGGTTGAACCCCAGTAGCTCCAGCAAGGACAAGGCAAGACAGCCTTTCTCAGTGCATTCTTCCACCGCTGCAGGGACAGTTAAGGAAAAGAACAACGTTCCCACCACCAATACACAATCATTTGGCACTGTCTGGGGGTCCCACTGGCATCAAGAGCCAAGCCTGCACTTCCTAATCCAGCCAGGGCACATGGCACAACCCATCAGGAAGCCAAGTGTCCTTTTTGGAGCTCAAGACTGAGCTACAAAGGAAACCACTCATTCTTAAAGGGATTAGCCTTTGCCTATGTACATGATACTGGAACCATTTCTTGGTTTCAAGGGCTGAATTACATAAGCAAGTTGAAGACTTGTTAATCATTAACAACATGACTGATGGCAGAAGTCAGAGAGTCAGCTGTTCTGAGCAAAACACGGCAACAGAAAGGAAAAGGTCACTTGAGTCTAACAGGAACCCACACACTAGGTAAAAGATACAGCTTTGTACCACCCGGAGCTTGAGCTGGGTAAAGAGCCGTACGAAGAAATCCACAAAGAGGCCCACCTATGAAAAAGAAGACAGATCTGCCATCAGAAATTACTACATACAAGTAACAAAGACCACCCTCTCATTAAGTCCTACAAGAAGTATGCACACATGGGAGGGCAGAGAATGAAGGCAGCAAAAGAAGCATTCTTCAGAGTAAACTAATTTCAGAAGCTCAGATTTGCTGCCTCCCTCATTCTCACTGGGACAGATCCATCTCAGAATTATTCCTGAAGAGATGCATTTCAGAGTACTGATCTGGTAGCATTTTTAACACCCACAACATACTTCAGGGTACAGAAGAAAGCTGGTGTTTAACTGGGGCATACAATCAGCAAAGCTAATTTTCAAACACTCTAGAAAGCACACACAGTGAAGCTAGTACTGCCAAACACTAAAAACATATAGTTCGACTATAAATTGGCATCTTTTTTTTCCTTAAGTGCTCACTTCAGACAAGTTTTCCTGCATGCAGAATTAAAGGATTTGCCAGAATACTTTGCAAAGAAAGCACAGCAAGATCTGGAAGAAAAAAAGGCTTCCTGGAAAATAATCTAGCAACAACGTGCTATAATTCCCAAAAGACAACTCCAGTTACTAAGCTCTCTGTTTCACGAAAGAGAACATTTCTAAATTATTCCTGCTCAGTCTCCCGAATTTTCCTCAGTCCCCAGACAGCATGACCCTTACCAGTCCTGTGCAGACTCCAATAGCAAAAACCATCACCCACTTCACTGCTTCGTATCTCTGAGCTTTCTGTTTAGGAAGAGGATTTAAAAAAAAAAAAAAAAAGCCAAGTCAAAGCAACATAGAAACGGGGATCAGAAAAAGGTGGGTTTGGGCTCCACAGCTCAATTACAGCTAGAATGGTAAATCAGCAGAAGATGGTCAGAACAGCAAACTGAAAATAGGGAACTGAAAGTGCTGAACATCTCGCTCACTTTAAGCTTGAGGATCAGAACAGATGCTGGGAGCTATAATCGCCACATATATTTTTATTATTTTCATAGAGAAACAAAGAGAGCACATGGAATTTCTTTTATAAAGAAGAAAAAAGCCCACAAAACTTCCCATAGTGGAGCATATTTAGAATCATAGAATGGTTTGGGTTGGAAGGGGCCGTTAAAGATCATCCAATCCACCTGCCCTGCCATGGGCAGCAACACCTTTCACTAGATCACGTTGCTCAAAGCCCCATTCAGCCTCATCTTGAACACTTCCAATGAGGGAGCATGGGTGACTTCTCTGGGCAAATTTCTCTGGATGATTTCCACAGTTTTAGCTCTCAAGCTAATGAAAAAGAAAGAACAAGGTCCTACCTTGTTGTCCATGCTCTCCAAAACTTCCAAGTATGGGTCATTGATACAGCGATCATAATCCAAGCTCTGAAAGAATGCCAAAAGGTCAATTTAAGAAAATCAGCTGCAGCAGATTGTGCAAAAAACCTATGGATGGAAGACCTTTTTAAAGATTACAGAAGTCATTATTACCCCCACAGTAAGTTTTGCAAACAACAGGAGGAGAAAAAACTCCTGGAAACAATTTCATTTAAATATTTCCAGCAGAGTCAGACCCTGAGAATCAGGAAGTGAAAGAACAGACCAATTTCACTGCCCAAGCTGAGACAGACAGAGAACCAAACAGGAATACGACTCATTAATACAACTTTAAATTAAAGCAAGTCACATTGTACAGCTTTAGATTTTACTTCTTTAAGCACCTCCAATTTGACAGTGCAGGGGATAACACTAGATCTTTGTATTTAACTTCTCACTACAACAGAAACACTAGGTAGGAATTCCTCTCCAGATGAACAGCATTAATTCTTAAGCTTATCACAGCAGGGAGTTAAATGCAACATAGAGCTGCCCAGTCGTACTCACAAAGTACCACTAGCTTCTCTCTACATCAACTTCACCTTTTCAAGCCAAGCAGTAACAGGCTGAGCTGGTGACACTCATGCTGACAGCAACCGCTCTAAACAGCTCAGGGCCACCACACAGACATGCGAAACACAAAAATATTCTGTAAGAAGCAGGATCCGATAGATGGGAAGATCTGCTGTGAGCCAGCATGACATCAGAGACCGCTGTTAGGCAACAGTGATCAAGTAGCTACAGATGCTTTCTACAGTCATGAGGAAACAAGACCACTGCATCCTGTAAATCTCACATTAAAAAAAGTGGAACAATGCAGCAGACACTGAAAATGAATTTTCTCTATAAGAGTCTGACTTAAGCAGTGGATGTTCAAGCTCTACTCACAGAGTTTTAACCCCGAAATGTATAATGATTAGGACCAAGCACAGTAACTCTTGGTATTTCTGCTGGTGCCAATGCAATCTAACTAGTGACGCATTTTGAGTAACTGCCCCATTGCAAACTCAAACAGATCAGAACTTGTCTGTAGTTCTTTCCACATTTCCCACCTCATAGTCTTTGCGTGGAAGGATCTCATCCTCCTCTTCATGAGTTTCTCCTAGGGTCGTCTGCAAAACAAACGAATGTGGGAAAGGAAAATTATCAGGGGAATGAATGCATGTACAGGTGCTCATGAACATTGGTAGCAAAGCCAAAATTAGGCAAGGCCTATGCCACTACTGCTTATAAAGTCAGAGGATGGATTACCAGACCACCAACTACTTTGAGGTAACTGTATAGGATCTTACCTTAAAGCTTGCCCCTCAGCAAGAATACACTACATTATTTCTATATGGGAGCTGCCCACAGAATAGTAAAGCAGAGTACTAAACCTACAACCCAGCTTCCTTCACAGCAACAGACTACAGGGAAGCACAGGACAAGAAACTTGCACAGACAGCATTCCCCCATGCAGGTCAACTGTTGGGAGCCCCTGCCAGAGCCACTCCCCGCTAATGGCTGCAAGGGGTGCTGTACCCGGCCGGGAGGAGCAGCAGCGCAGGCTGAGGCACTGGCCACAAGGGCTAGGGATACCAGGCCCAGCCAAAGCAAACGTTGTCTGGGGTACCAGGACAGTGCGAGCCGAGGCACCGGCAGCAGCAGCAGCTGAGGTACTGGGCCCAACACGAGGCAAAAGAGCGGGAACGGGCTGAAGTACCAGGCCCTGAAGCGCCGGACCGAGCACAGGCAGAGGTACCGGGCCCTGAGGCGCCGGCACCAGGGTCTGAGGTACCGCACCCTGAGGCGGCGGCACCGAGGGCGGGCTG